TGTTTAAATAAATGTGAAATGTTGTTTTTTTTTCTGTCGGCAAAATGATTCTAATAAACTAATGAACTAGTTAAGCCGATTCAGCCAACTTGTTAACATACACAAGGGACGGCAATGCGCCGCGGTAGATGACGCTAGCAACCGAATTCCAGAAAATTGTATTTCGAATTTAAATTATCAATTCTTAACTGTGTTTAATATGAACTTATTCGGTTCAAGCGTTTTCATTCTTTTTAAATCAAAAGAAATTATTTTCAATACATACCAAGCACGAAGAATGTTCACATGCATGAATCCGAATCTGTTTGGCGAATTCAATGTATACTACAGGAATTTCCTTTGAACAGTTTCACGAGAGGTTTATCCACATTCCGACACAAGAGCAACAGATCTAAACAGTGCTGGTAGTATTTCTGGCCTCGATCTTTTTTCCATTTGCTCAGTTAGTGTTGTTTTAGAAATCTGTAACAGTGTTCGAAGCGATTCCAGAGAGTCTAACGGAACACTGAGAGGACCTCACTAGGGTACCCTAGTCTATTTATACTTTTGTCACTGGTTTCTGGACTGGTTTCTGGCTTTTTAGCCAATCAAAATTGATCTACTGTTGTTATGATGATACACAGAAACTCAAAGCTCGATCCTGATTGGCTGAAAATAGCTTTCGGGTTTCCTGTGTGAACAAGAATTTATCTGGAAACCAGTCGGGATTCCTATGTGAATCAGTGCTACGTCATTTTGCACTAGTGCACTCTCAAGCGATAGTCCGCTGTCTAAGAGCCATTGGGGGACTCTGGGCTCGTGATCGACAGTCTTGTGTCAAACATTTCGATGGTTCCCCTCCCACAAGAACAAAGAAGTTTATATTCCAAGTAGTAAATGTGGGTTTCCTGTGGTACAACTTTCAAAATGGCGGCCAAAGCGATCGTATTGCCATCTACCGGTAAAATACTTCAGTGAATACTCCATATTCTTTTCGTTCATATTATTTTATTTGAAGTATCGCTTTCAACTACATCTTTTTTTTGAAAAAATCTCACTAGTTTCCGGAAACTAGTTGAACTAGTCTAAATCCGCCCCTGCAGAGGAATGGATCTAAATAGGAAGAAACTAGCGCGCTAGCAAAACTGGCTGAAGTTAACTGTGATATAGAAAATTATCACGAAGCTGTTGATTACTATGAGAAGGGACTGGAAATAGTACAAGAGACTGGTGACAAGAAACTAGAGTGTGAGATGTGTTATAGCATTGGCGGTGCGTGTGGTAAACTGGGAGATTATGACAAGTTTATGGAGTATTCAAAACAAGGCTTCAATGTTGCGTTAAGAATCGGTGACTCTAGACTCACTGCAGATTCTTATGAAGGTCTTGGTGGTGCTTACCATTCCCTGTGTGACTATCAAAAGAGTATTAAGTGCTATAAAAAAGCTGTTGATATGTACAAACAACTGAATGATGAAGAAGGATTAGGGCGTTGTTACGGAAACATGTCATTATCCTATAAGAAGCAAGGAAAGTACCATGATGCAATTCGTCTATTAGAGGAGAGTCTCAGGATAATTGTTGAAATTGGAAAAAAAGAAAATCAGGCGAGTGACTTGCTTAACTTGGGGTCAATATACGCAATGTTGAATGATTATGATAAGGCCATCGAAATGTTCCAGAAAAGTCTTGCTATCAGTATAGAGATCGGTAATAAACGTCTTCAAGCAAGATGTTATGGTAGCCAGGGAAATGTTTTGTTTCATTATTGTAACAAATATTCAGAAGGCATCGTGTATTATCAGAAATGCTTAGACATTTCAAAAGAAATCGATGATAAACAATCACAATCGGTCACCTTATTAAACATTGGCCAATGCTTAACGGGATTACGTCGATACGAAGAGGCGAAGAAACAATACGACATTAGTCTTGCTCTTGCTAAAGAATTAAATGACAAACATAATGAGGCAGGTATTTATCATACTATGGCTATAAACAATATTTGCAGAAATCAAATTCAAACTGCATTAACTTTATTAGAGAAATGTCTTGATATCGCTTCCACTATTGGCAATAAAGATCTTGAGGGTGGAGCATGCTATAAATTGGGTCAAGTATACTATTCATTAAACAAAGAGAACCAAGGACATCAAGCATGTCATGTAACTGATGATAATATAGCTAAATCGGAAGAATACTTGAGAAGGGCACTTGATTGTTATGACTTTATTTTTCATCATCTACATCAACGGGATCAATTCAAAGTCTCCAAATTTGATACATTCATTGCAACCTACAAATTTCTCGCGATTCTGTTGATCGAGACAAAGAGAACACAAGAGGCTCTGTTAGTATCTGATGGTGGAAGAGCACGTGCTTTAGGAGATCGCTTGATCTTTAAATACGGTATGATTCAACAAGAATATTTATCGCCTAGACAATTAACTTATCCTGATGTAGAAGGGATCCTAACAAATGATGGATTCTCTTTGCTGCATTACAGCTTACTAAGCGACAGTTTGGCTGTGTGGGTTTTAGCTAAAGACTCACTGATGTTCAGAGAAACTGAAAAGGAACAATTTGATTCTGCCATGGAAACATTGACTGAAGAAAAGAAAGATGGTGATGAAAACTCCATTAAACGTTTCTTTACTGCTACGGTTTCAAGAGCATATGAAATGATGAAAATCCAAGAAAGCGTCACTTGTGAAAACAGATCACTTGATGATTGCGTTACATCGAAAGATCATGTCACTACAAAAGCTTCTGAATCTCTGTCACGTGATGATGGTACCAGTGAAGAGAGCCTCGATAAAGCGTCTCACCCACTTGAAACGTTGTACAATTGTTTAGTTGCACCTGTCCTATCAGAAGTACAACACGACGAGATTGTCATAGTACCCGATGGACCAATGTATAGAGTACCGTTTGCTGCCCTCAGGGATCCCAATACAGCGGGACAATATCTGTCAGACACCAAACGCATTCGCCTTGCGCCATCAATAGCAATATTAAAGACTCTAAATGAATGTCCAGTGAATCATCACAGCCAAAAAGGAGCATTGATTGTAGGCGATCCAAGTGTTGGAGAGGTGATGTTTAGAGGAAAGAAAAGAACGTTTGCACGTTTACCTTCAGCAGGTACCGAAGTCAGAGTTATTTCTTATAAGTTGGGGCAGGCCGCCCTGACTGGAGAGGAAGCTACCAAAGACGCTGTTTTGCACAGATTGCAAGAGGGATCAGCTGTGATTCACATTGCTGCACACGGGAGCTCTGACAATGGTGAAATAGCGCTAGCACCAAATGTCTCACCAGAAAGACAAGGAATTCCAGAAGAGGATGACTACCTGTTGAAGATGAGGGAAGTCCAAAGCATCGGAATCAAAGCTCAACTTGTTGTCCTAAGCTGTTGCTACAGTGGTCGTGGTGAGATCAGGGCAGAGGGTATGGTTGGACTAAGTCGTGCTTTTCTAGCGGCTGGAGCTCGTTCTGTCGTAGCTTCACTGTGGGCAATCGACGACACAGTAACTTTGTGTTTCATGCTGAAGTTTTACGGTTATCTTACTCGAGGGGATAGTGCGAGTGTAAGCCTTCATAAAGCCATGCTAGATATCCGAACAGAGGAAGGCCAAAGGGATCCTAAGTACAGAGATCCCAAGTACTGGGCTCCTTTCTTCCTGATCGGCGATGATGTCACCCTCAGTTTGTAAGTAATAAGCATCATATTCATCTTTGATGTCAAAAAATGAGCATGAAACACAAATCATTTGATAAATACAGTATTGATTCAACACGAACATCAACACGAACAGTGTGCTTTTGGCATGTTGCAATTAACTCGTCAAGGTCTGTCCAGAGCCGGTTGTTATAGCTAGCTGTCGCTTGTAAATATGTAAATTACGTTATTTCTGCTCAATTAGTTTACACTGAGTTGTTGTTCTTGTGTGATATACCATAGTTAATGTTAACTATTATTAACTATTATTATATTTACTATGGATAAACATTTTGATTCGTGATAGTTTTATGCGAATTAGGCTCTTCATGGTAACGATAAACAAAGCACACAAAAGGCAGGATGAGATTTTTGTCTGGTACCTAAAAGCAAAGGTTATGCGATAATATATTCAGGTTGTTCTACGAGATTTTACCTATGCAAGATCCCACTCATCTTTAAAAGTAACATTCCCTGACTTTTCCCTGACCAAAAACTCTTTCTCAATGACCAGGTGACAAGATTATCTTTAGTCCTATAAATATAGCTTGCTGAAGCACGAACCATTTAGAAGCGAAATCACTTTTTTCGCAAAGACCAGGAAAAATTCTCCAAAAATTCCCTGACTTTTCCCTGACTTTTTGATAAATTGTATATTTCCCTGACCAAAATCAAAATTCCCTGACAATTCCCTGACCTTGAAAAAACATTCAAATTTCACTCGGACTTTTTCCTGACTCTGGGAACCCTGCTATGGCACAAGCTGGTACGTTTCTTTAAAATTTCACAATAATTGTAGTACTACCGTAGTAGAAACGTCAGAAAAATTGATTTTTTTGTGTGCTGTATTGTTGCCAAATAAATAGGTATGATATGGGAGCAAAAAGGAAAAGATTTGTAGGGATTAAACATAAATATAGCTTATGTCTCACCAAGATATTTGACAGTTTTTGTAATCGGCCTAGCAATAATTTTATTATATTAACCAGTATTACAATAGTGACCAATCTTTTCAAATAAAAACAGCACCATCAGTCACCCTTGTGGATAAATCATTTCTAATGGGCCTGTTTGACTGGAGGGCGCGTCTAGGAGATCTAAAGATATTCTTCTATGATTCAAGGAAGGTGGGGCTGTTGTTCATTGGTTGAGGGGTGAGGTGGTCTGTTACTCATCGCTGTCAGATTCTACAGATGAATTGTTTTTCTTTCTTCGTTTTGCTTRTTTTGGTTTGACAGATTCTTCTTCCTGGAAAGAGGACGAAACAAGGTAAATGAATATGGTCCAAAATTTCTTAGAAAAACATTTTTAAATGTAACAAATAAGATAGAAAAAACAACACAACTAAAGAAAAGACTAACTGATAGCCACACTTGTCAGTGACGGCAAACCATGACTAATCAAAAATAGACAACAAGGAGACAGTATGTAATACCTCATCACTTTCGTCTGAAGACTGGACATGTTTTGAAGCAGCCGCCTGCGTTCTTGATGTCCTGGTGTTTCGTTTTCGAGATTCTTTTTCATCGCACAACGAAAACAACATCTTAAACCTTGAAGAACAAAGCGCAGAAAATACAATGTCTTTCACCTTTCTTCAGAACAGAAAGAATATTTCAAGTAATTGTATCAATATTTTATAATTCTTTCACCTACCTTGACTTTCTAGCTTCTGTGCCAGCAATTTTTGCCTGGTCTAACGCTGAACGTATATTATCCTGTTTAAAAAAACTAACAGTAGAAAAATACACAAACAGCATTACAGTTAACATCATTACAAACTAGTGTTGTGTTACTATTAATACTAACTGCAGTGAGTTGACTGATTCACGAACCAGTTTTACATCTACTCATTGTCGAATATTGTTTTGGGGAAAAAAAAGGAAAAAGAAAGAAAACAAAGATAAAAACTATAACGATAGCAAAACTTATGACTGACACTTGAGTGAGAAATCTCGTGTGGCGTTTCACCTTGCAGACCACAAACAAACTTCGCTTGTTAACACAGGCAAATATGATGTTGTTTGTACTGAAGCTAGACCACAATGCAACATGATTTTAAATTTCAGAAAAGGTAAATTCATGAAAATATCAYTTCCTTACAACTAATATCTTCTTGTTCCTGTGATATTTTGTACAGCCAATCAAGATGTCCAAGGATCTGATCGACAGAAGGTTGATTCTTGGCATTTCTAATGATAACATCAATCAATCAGTCAATTCAATTCATTCAGGGATTCAATCCATCGATTAATCAATCACCAATTCAATTAGTCAGTCAGTTTGATCATCAATTGCCCTAGTTCATAATGACGTCACATAAAAACATTCTATTCTTTTAACGCTAAGGATTATGGTCGCCAGAAGGGATCAGAGTGACTGCATATCAAACAAAATGTACATGAGCAATCATTTATACATGATATATATCAAAACACGATTCACTGAAGTTCTACTTTAGTCGACAATATAAATGGTTCCAAATTTCCGCTGTTTTTTAGCATCGTTATCCGATGTAAACATACTGTAACGTCATAATGAAATAGGGCAATTCAATCACAGACAATTGGCGATCTAACACAAACGTCCCTTTCGCGATTTCTGGCGCAATATTTTGGACAAAGATTCCATGAAAGGATGGAGAAAAGATGCGTTTTTCGTTATATTTTTATTYTTATTCTGTATACTGTTAATCCTTTGTTCAATTTTTTGATCCCTGCCAGCAGAATCTCTCTYGTAGCTTCCGAGGAGTACTTTAACGAGAGAGAGACGATTTGGGCGTTGCATAAGACTGGCTCATAGAGCGACAGTAGTTAAGGTTTGCGAGTTTTGCGAATAACACTTGATCAAAACTATTGATCTATTCATCTTTTTTCCCCATCGATTCTTAGATTCTTTACTAAACGAACAAGATGGTGCTTAAAACCGTGAAAGTGTCTGTCATAGCGTTTTAAACCATTCTCATGAGATTCAAATGATAAAAGACCGCCGGCCATGTTGGAGGAATGAACAATACATACTAATTAGAAATCCTTTGTTGAAGTTCCTCCAAAATGGCTGCTGTGACGTATAGTGAAAACGAAGAATTAATTTGATGCACATGGCACCGATAACTAAAAAAAAGAAAAAAAGCAAGAAACAACCAATCAATCATAAAACAGTTACGATAAACTCTTACTTTCGTTTTTTCCCTCCAGACAACTGTTTACTAATCTGTTGACTAGCAAGCTGCGCAAGCTCACTAGAATACTCTACACTCCAACACTTAAGTAACGCAGTGACAAACTGGTTACCAGTTCTCTTGTCCGGACATTCCATTGCAACAACGGGCGTCAAAAGATCATGGGAAGGCCTAATGTAGAGTGAAATAACGGTAAAATAGTGACGATTATAATGATAATCATATCTCAAGACTGCATTGTCCTATGACGGTCTTGGTTGCGCTTACTATAACCTATGTGACTATCAAAATAGTATTAAGTGCCATAAAAAAGCGATTGATTTGTACAAAAAACTGAATGACTATGAAGAAGGATTAGGGGTCGTCATTATCATATCAGTCAGGTGCAAGGAAAGTACCATGATGCAATTCGTCTTTCAGAGGAAAGTCTCGTTAAAATTGGAAGAAAAGAAAAACAGGCGACTGACTTACTTAATTTGGGAACAATATACGCAACGTTGAATGATTATGATAAAGCCAGCGAGTTGTACCAGAAAAGTCTTACTGATCAGCAAAGAGAT